ACCACCGTCACTACCACCACCCTCTGAATTTCCCATTGTACGTCTTGAATGGCAGCCTCGTTTGATTGTCCGCTTCCCCCACCAGGATATTTTGACTTGCATATTATTCAATAAAAGGAAATAAGTTGGAAAAGCTAAAGAAAATAACCCAAATTACCCGCTCTTGAATAACGCCTATGGCGGGCAACCAAATAAGCTCTTTTAGTGAGATGTTTGCTGTTCAGGAAGAAGTTCAGAACATAATGCAAATCATGATTGAATTGCATATTAACAGTAATACTGATTTATCAATAATCAACTATCACCCAAATGGGATCTGACAGATCATTGGTGGCTGTTGCGTTTTGAACCGTGATCTGAAACAACAATTTAGTTGCACTTTAATTTATCAGAAAGAAGATATTGTTCACTACTTCCCTGGTAGTCTTCTTGGTTCGACAACTCTCTCCTTCAGTCTTCAGAATTGCGGGCAGAGGGCAGGATACCTTTGGAAACCCCATCACCATTGGGTCGAAAGTTTGATCACATGTTCGTTCCTCCATAGCCCCTTCAGGTGCTCATCTAAACGCCGTTTGAAAGCAGCGTCGGTCTTCTCCTCCACCACAGTCGCTGGAAGGGAGTTCTAGACCGTTTTTGACCTTTACAGAAGATCAACTGACTGAAGTTTCTGCAACGTGAGACAGTGCCCCGCGTGCGTTCCTCTGTTCGTAACGGGCAATCCTACTGCAACTCCGGGCCCATTTCACCTCTCAGGATCTTCCTCAGGCAGATGAGATCTCCCCTGAGGTGCCGATGCGCAACTGGTAACAGACCAGTAGCCTGTAGACGACCTTCATAGCTGATCCCGCGTAGTCCAACCACGAGTCTAGTGACAGTACGTCGTACATGCTCCAACTTATCCAGTTCACCGGTCATGCAGGGATATGTTGCCGCACTGACCTTACTCAAGTCTCGATCTGACGCGAAAAGCGTACAGCAGTCTGAAAGCGTCCATCGGAAGCCGGATGAAAGATTTCTGAATAAGTCCCAAAATGCTCCACGCACTAACACAGACCTTATCGGTGTTTTCTCCGGTCTTTAGTGATGACGTCAGCATAACTCCCAGATCTCTCTCGCACGATGTTCTGTGCAAAGTGGTTCCCTGGAAGTTTTAGACCTCCACCTCTGATTCAGCACGCCCCAGGTGCAGGTGAGCACACTTTGCGGTGTTGAGTGGAAGTGCCCAGGTGTCCGCCCACTGAGCCAGGTTGTTCAAATCCTCTAGAAGAGTATTTCGATGTTCTGCATCCTCGATTGTACGCCAGAATTTGATGTCATTCGCATATCTGAGGGATGAACTGCGCAACTGACCGGGTAGGTGGTTGAAATAAGCCACAAAGAGGTGTAGAACAGAGTCTTCGGGGATCCCAACTGGAGGCGAAATACCACGTAGATAGCAATCTGCCAACACGGACGCAGATATTCCGGTCAATGAGGAAGTCTCGCAGCTTTGAATCATCTCTTCTCATCCCCGTCAGCCAGAACGAATATTTTTGCATATTTTTGCCATAAGTGACAGATGTTTTCTTCGTTAGAAAAATTGTAATTCAGAGAGAACATTCACGCGCCTGTGGCCGCATAGTGTTCTAAATTTTTCGCAACAAAACACCTATTGTGAGCGGAAGATAAACCTAGCCCGGAAAATTCACGCGTTTCGCGTTTGAAATGGATTGCGATCAGTCTTCCACGTGAGAAGAGAACATGTCCGCGTTTCTCGAGGGTCCTGGACCGGTAATCGTGTCTGTTCTTCATCGGCGTGTTGGTAACCTCGATTCCGGATCAATGACTATACCCTTTTCAATTTAAGATGTCCCCGCATCAATTAAGATGTGATTTTGCTATTTGAATAGTACGATAGTGTGATCACTTCATCGTTTCACATTGTCTTGTACTTTTTTTGATACTCTTGTTGTCTCATCCAGTCCAACCGTTTGGTGATGACACGCCTGCCGTACAGTCGAAGTTCACTAGGCCGTCTAAGACTCGGAGCAAGGTGTGATTTCTCGCTCGGATTAGCCGGGCAAGCACCATCCAACCGATTGACAAATGAACACTATCGGTCGTGTGATTTTTGAGCCTGAAAAAGATGAGGATAAGTTCTGAATTCGATACCTCAACAAAGGACTTGGTGCTTGCCCAGGTAACCCGTGTAAGAAACCACATACAACCACAGGTCCAGGGAAATTTGACTGTACAGCAGGCGTGTCATCACCAAACGGTTGGACTGGATGAGACAACAGGAGTATCACAAAAAGTACAAGACAATGTGAACCGATGAGGTGATCGCACTATCGTGCTATCCACATGCCAACATGCCATCTTAAATTGATATTCGGACAATTTAAATTGAAAAAAGACATAGAATCTGACCAACGCCATAGCTATCACACGTTTCTCCATTTCTCAGTTCTACGTTTTGTTGGCACTATCAATAAGGGCTTGCTCTATTTGCAGCTGTCATCTAACTGGGAGTGAGTCCAGGTTCGATTATAACCTGGGTGAGACGCAAAACCTATCATTGTGTGAATTTCAACGCAAGTCAGGTAGCTGTCTCGTCTTGGTTGAATCCTCTGACTAGTGTATACTAGTTTTCTGTCACTGACTCAGTCGTAAAAACGGTCCAGAGATTTAGCTGCGTGGTTTTGCATTGTCTGTGGCGGTGTGCTGACCGGTCATTTAAAAGGAGAACAATCGATCAGCGCACAAGGAAACTTTTCCCGTGATTTTTTTTAAAATTCATACATGCACTAGGAAATCTTACCAACTATGCTCGTTCGTCAACGGTCGACCAGAATCGATTTGAGCTACAGTTTTTATTACGATATCCTGTTGGTATACAAATTATTAATTATTATTGGAAAATGGAAAGCAGCCTGGTCGGCTACCCAGTGACCGACTGGATAGCATATTTGCGTTCTGCCTGTGACATCGCGGGTTTGGTTCCCCGTTAAGTCAAAAGAATTCTCCCTGCACTGAGGAGACCCTACCAGATCAGGACAGTGCTATTTAAAATTTCAGTTC